ATTATATTTGTTCAAAAAATTCGTTATATCAAGAGTTTGTTATATCAAAAGTTAACTGTAATAATATTTAACTAATAACTAAATATAATTGATTATTATTATAAATTGAACTAAAATTTTAATTTTAATAATGCAAGTATAATAATTATAATACAATTCAAATAATGTAATAATTTTTAATATATTATATAAAAATAATATATTTAAACATTATAATAAGAAATGTAAATAAAACTTAAACATAAAATTTTTTACTTAAATACACTTGAATATTGAAAAATTAATAAAATTAATATCAAAATCTAACAAAAATAATAAGAGATTATTTATTAATACTTGTAATTAGTATTTTATTTGATAAAAAAAAATATTTAGCAAGAAATACTGATGCAGATTATTATAAAAGTAGTTCTTAGATTTTATATTAATCTCACAACTTTTAGCAAAAAAAAAGTATATTTGTTATTAATGCAAAATAATTTGTGTTTCAGCTATCAATCCAGTTTTCAAGAAGGTAAATAATCTTCTTGAATATATCATCAGAATTATTATTAGATTCCTTATATTTAAGTTTGTTTTAATATCATCTTTGAAGTTTTTTGAATTCTTCTAAACTTTAAAATACTAAATATTTCCCATTTCCAGTTTATGTATTAAAGGTCTTATAGCTGCTACACATGTACAGAATCACTAGCATTCCTCTTCTTATTGTTCTTCAATCCTACAAATACTTAATACCTTTCATTTACAAATAGCTGACCTTATCATTTTACCTACTCTAATAAGATTTCTTTAGGAAGAATTCACCGGTACGATAATTGCTCTAAATTTTGCAACCAAATTTTGTGTAAAACATTTCAAATCTATAGTGGAACTACTTCTAAGATTTCGGTTAATAAATTTTCCAATTTATTTGTATTCTGTAACCTTGTTATTACTTTCTCTGATTGTGAATCATAATAATATAAGGTTAAATTTACTACAAGTCGCATTATCAAAGTTATGCTGACTCACCAGTTAATTGCGCGTTGCAGGTAGTTTATACTTTTAATTTCATATAATTATTACTTTTCATATACTTGAAGAATAAAATAATAATAATCTTAAAAATAATTAAAGGATTAAATACGAAGAAAATTTTGTCTAGGAATGACTGAAAGAAAAAAAAGGTTATGAATATGTTTTGAAAATAAAGATTCATGAGTAGCGCATTTCTCGAACTGGAATGGATCACAAAAGGTTCAGGAGAGTGACGCATTTCAGTAAATGAGAAATTGATAAAAAGGCATATTCTCATGAAGAAAGAAAACTATACATCATAAATAAGCGTCTACTTACTGTTAGCCATTAAAAAAAATCAAAAAATGACAAGACTAGAGTTTAATCAGTGTGAAATTGAATTCAAACCAAAAATCTTTCAGATTTAATTCAAACCGTTCAAAGTTTTATTTGATTGGTTCTTATTCATTACTCCAAATGAAAGGAAAGGCATTAGCATGAGACTTGGAGTGCGATAAGACTGTTTGTACAAAATCGGTTATGAAATTAAGCTCTATAAAAACCGTCATTTGATAAATCAAACACGAATGCTAAATTCATGGAACTCGATAATTTGGATATTTAACGTTTGTACGTGAATTCTACGCAATGTTTCGAATATATTAATTTAATAAGTTTCTCACATCTGATTCGTGATATTATTAACTTGTGTATGCCCCCGTCTTTTCATAAATTCGAATTCTTCAGTCGGTTAAATAGTATATAAACATCCTTTATTTTCCAGAAGATAAAGCCCAAACTTTATTATTATTTTTTCGTAAGAAACTTATGATAACAGATTTTATTTTTAAACTAAATTCGCTTTCAATTTTATGAAATTTATAATTTATTGAAAAATATCGATATATGCCAAATTTTGAAACCTTTAAATAGTGCAATATATGTATAAATAGTATTCATTTGCAATAAGTTCACATATCAGTTTTTAACGTTTACCAAAGTACTGTATATGAAAATTTACAAAAAAAAAGAAGAAAAAAGGATTCATTCATTATTCAAGGTTAATAACTGAACGAACACTACAAAAAAAAAAAGAGAGAGAGAGAGAGATGTTAATAACAAATTATTGGAACTTTAAGTTGTAACACCCATATTAATCTAATAACCGACCTTTCACCAGAATGCATATCATCGAAAGCTTTATTGATGTCTTCCAGTTTGTGTTGATGAGAGATATACATATCAATTTCCAATTTCTTTTCAAGATAATCTTCAACTAAATTTGGTAATTCACTTCTTCCTTTAATACCACCAAATGAACTTCCTTTCCATGCTCTGCCATGTATAAGTTGAAATGGACTGGTATTTATTTCTTCATTTGCACCAGGGATTCCAATAATAATTGATTCACCCCATCCTTGTTGACATGATTCAAGTGCTGCTCTCATTACTTTTGTATTTCCTGTACAATCAAATGTATAATCCAATCCTCCATCTGTCATTTCAACTAAAACCTATCGTAATAGATATTAATCAAGGATTTTTTTTGGTGGCGGAAATGCATAAAGGTGTACCAATTTTACCTGTTGAATCGGTTTATCATAATCTTCAGGATTTATGAAATCAGTTGCCCCAAGTTTCTTGGCTGAAAGGGAGACATATTAAAAAAAAAATACCGATCTACTATAAATGATTACTTGAAAAAAATCATTACCGTATTCGAATTTCTTCGGATTTACATCAACAGCAAAAATTCGACTATTAAAAAACGTAAAGTTGTTTATAAACAACCTTTCCCAAAGTTAAAAACGAAATAATTCTTTAAACATCACCTTGCTTTACAAGCCGCGGCACCTTGTATTACGGATAGACCAACTCCACCGCAACCAAATACCGCTACCGTAGATCCAGGTCGAATATTGGCCGATTTTGTAGCTGCTCCATAACCTGTGGTAATACAACAACCGAGCAAGCAAACTTTATCAAGTGAGGCTTTAGGACTAATCTTCGCGACCGATGCTTCAAACAAGACTTTTAAAAATAATTTAATAATATTAATAATGCCCTTATCATTTTTTTTTTTTTTTTTTATATAATAAAATATTCTTTTAGGTGTCTTTGCATTACCTGTGTATTGACTGAATGTAGAACAACCCATGTAATGGTATACTTTCTGCCCTTTACAAGTAAACCTAGTAGTTTTATCTAGCAATAATCCATTTCCCTAAAATAAATCACGTAATGTTTTTATTAACTCCATTAAAATTATCCCCATTACAAAAACAACCCTTGAATAAATTACCACGGTTGATCCAATCAAAGAACAAGTATTTGTTAATCCGCTTTTACAAAATTTGCATTCACGACATTCGGGAATATATAATGGAATTACATGATCCCCTGGTTGAACGGATGTGACGCCTTCTCCAATTGATTCCACGATACCACCTCCTTCATGTCCAAGGATTACTGGCCACCATTTTGCAGAATCTGTGAAAAAAAAATAAAAACATTTAGGAAGTTGGATTTTAATTAGTTAAAACCATAAAGACAACATTTTTCATTACCTCTGCCAGATAAAGTAATCGCGTCTGTGTGACATCTAATAAGAACACGTTGAAACGACAATAAATTTATTTTGGTATTTAAATTATTTAAATTTTTACAATCATATAAAAGGAAGCTTACACTCCAGATGCCAATATCTTTACACGAACTTCTCCTTTCTACCAAACAATTCTATTAACATTAATAATATGATCGATCAGATTTGCTGCGCCATGAGTCATTTGACGTACCTTTGGTGGTGCAACTTCTATTACCTCAATGCCTATTGAACAAAAATTATTAAATTTTCGAATTATATGGGAATATGCTGAAAAAAAAATTAGCAATTTTTTTTAAAGTTGCTTACTTAATGGTTGAGCCGGACCCCAGGCTACTGCCGCTTTACACTTAATAACCTAATCAGAAGAAAAAAAAATTACAATTAAATTAAAAAATATGTATTTTTTATTAAAAGGCCACGCCAAATTAGCATTTTCGGTTCACGTAACATTAAAATTTTAAAATTGACCCGTTTATTAACAAAAAGATTTGATACGATGTTATTGGTTGGTTTTTTAAGGAGTAATCGGAGCATTTTCCATATTATGAAGACTGTAATGTATCAGTTGGAAGTAAAAAGAGAAAACAAAGAAAAGAAATAGAAAAAATCAAGTAAACCAAGAAACGACGAGAACTAATTGAATATAACATAAATATTCGTTATATTTCGAAGTACGTGATAAAATTTTACATATTAAAAGCTGTTTTTGGTTAAAATTTAAAAGGTGACCACGGGCCGGTGACGTGAACAGAAAATGTTAATGTGCGTGACCTAATAACGGTAGAAAAATGATTACATACTTGTCCTGCTGTTGACATTTTTTTTTTTTTTTTTTTTTTTTTTTTCAAAAACGATCTTTTCACGTTTAAATATTTCAATTTTCAAGTTTTTAACTAAACCGTTTTCTTCATAATCTATATTTCTGACAATATCCGAAATGGTTGAATGCATCAACAAATTTCTTTATTTCAATTTCAACTTATCAGAGATGGCAGAAGACACGTCAAAAATGTTTCCTCATTTAGATAAGCCAAGGATAAATCATTTAGCAGGATATAGAACTTTTAATAGTTAACCACCAATAATTCGTTTTCGCTTAATTTTTGAAACTTTACAGGTTATCTCGAAATTGAACAATGAAAGAATAACTTAACGTTTCGAATTTAATAACAGTATAACAGTATGTTAGTTTCGGTTCAAATATTCGAATAGAGAATCTAAAGATATTCAAAAAAAGTATATTCAGTATATTTTGACCAATAGTATGTATGGCATATATATCGGGGCGTTACACAGTATAAGTTATAAACTGATTGGAAAATCATGTAATATGATATATAAATTGTAGTATAAAAAATTTTTATCACAAAAAAAAAAAAAAAAAAAAATCAACATGGTCCGAAAATTAAAATACCATGAACAAAAATTACTCAAGAAGGTTGACTTTCTTCAGGTAACCGAATTATTTCATTCTTGCATTTATTTGTCGACAATTTTTTTATAACTAAATCATTTTTTTTAATATCAGTGGAAAAATGAAAATAATATAAGAGAAATAAAAATCATTCGTCGTTACCATTTACAAAAACGAGAGGATTATCACAAATATAATAAATTATGTGGTTCAATAAAAAAACTCGCTAATCGTATATCTTTGTTAGATCCAAGGGATCCCTTTAGAAATAAGCAAGAAATTGCGTTACTGGATAAACTGTACTCGATGGGACTAATCACCGGTAAAAAACAATTTAGTCAAACTGATAAAATTAATGTTTCAGCCTTTTGCAGGTGAGTTTCATTAAAGTACGAGTAGGTAGGTAATAAGTTTTTGTGTATGATGAAGGGGGTTAATCATTTTTCCCATAGACGAAGGTTACCTATTGTAATGTGTCGATTAAAAATGGCCGAAACCGTTAAGGAGGCCGTCACATTTGTTGAACAAGGTCATATACGTGTTGGTCCTGAAACAATTACTGATCCAGCCTATTTGGTAACGAGGTAATTTTTCAATACTTTTTAAAATAATTCCATCATTGTACTGTATTAAAATTTAACATATTTTAATTTTTACTATTATATTTTTAGAAATCTTGAAGATTTTGTAACTTGGGTAGATACTTCCAAGATTAAACGAAAGATTATGAAATATAATGACAAGGTAACTCTTAATCTTTTTGCGAGAAAGAATTTTTTTTTTTCTTTTTCTTTACTAATTCAACTCTTTAATTTATTAGCTTGATGATTATGATTTATTATGAATTTTTAGCAATTTTAATACGTGACGATATTAAATAATGAATTTATATAAATATTAAAATAGTTAATATAAACAGGGCTAATAAAATAGTTAAACAAACCACCAAAACGATAATCGAGGATTTTTTTTTTATTTCTTAGAGGAAAACAAAATAAATTCAAAAAAAAGAAAATAAAGAACTTAAAAAAAAAAAGAGAGTACTAAAATTCTTTTCTTTAAAAATCAATAATTTGTTTCTCTAACCCACGCTCAAAGAAAATTATATAAATGATCGAGATAATTGCAAACAAATGAAATAACGAATGTTATTCCACGATTTCGAACTTGAACAAAAAATGGCAAGATGTAAGGAAAACTGATCAGGAAAATAACAACCAATAAAAAATATACCACCATAACCCCAAATCCGTTAAAAATCAAAGTATAAAAAAAAGGAAATATACAAAACTAATCACTATTAATTTCTTTAAAAATAGAAAGGAAAAAAAAAAAGAATACTAAAAATCCACTCCTCTCTTCTAGCAAAGGGAAAATTCATATTTTTTTAAAGATTAAAAATTCACAAAATTCCACAAATAAACTAAAAAAAAAAAAATAATAAAAAATAATAGTAATCTTTCATTATAATTTTAATTCTTCCCCTAATTAATAATTCTTTGCTTATCTTATCCAACCGAAAAAAATTCACAATAAAACTTATATAAGAAAATAAAACATAAACTGTATAATAAGAAATAATAAATTATGTACAAGGGAAAAAAATCGAAGGAAAAGAATGTATTAAGGAAGTTTAAAAAATTTTTTTTTTCTTTTTTTTTTTTTTTATAGAAAAAGCAAGATAAAAGTTATGTACAGAAAAAAGTAGAAGTTTGCAATAATTAGGAATGAAAAGTATTATAAAAGCATCAATTTTTTTGTGGTGTCAACACCCACATTGATGTAAGTTGATTGAAAAATAAAATGGTTTACAAAATAAATTAGGAATAAAGTAAAGGATGGGTGAATTATAATTTTATTTTTAAATGGAAAAAGGAGTAGGAAAAATGAATAGAATGTATTTAGAATGTTTGGTATGTGGATTTTCTGTGAGTAAGTAAGTACCAAGTGTCTATAAAAAAAAAATTTTTACAAAATTAGGCAAGTAACATAGAAAATTAATAAATTCAGTAAAGATTGAAAGAAAAGCAGAGATGGATTTACAGTATATATGTCTATTATAGGAAGGAAAAAAGGGAAACTGAAATGGATAGGGATAGGGATAGGGATAGGGAAAGGGAAAGGGAAAGGGAAAGAAAAAAGAAAAATAGAATAAATAGTTCATTATTTTTAAAAAAAAAAATATTTTGATATATAATAACTTTTGAACCGTAAGATATTTCTACATTGTGGTAAATTGAAAATTGTAGAAAATACATAACAAATCAAGTACAATAAATTTATTATTCACATCAAGTTTAAATTCACTTGTTATATCAGTATATTAGTAACTTAAGAGGTATTCGCTACATATCACATCCCAACTCTTTGGCAAACCAATCCAAAAAGACGACGTGGTATAAGCCTTGCCATTTGCTCAAGAACTTCTTGTTCAAGAAGTTTTGACTCAATTGGCGTTGCCAACTGATAACCTCAACTTTCCAACCGCGTTCCAAAGCCTTGATTATACATTTGTGGAAACCTCCTTGGAAATATTCCGCATCTTTTCCATCGCCACTAGCGAGGACCAAAGTAGCTGGAGCATGATGATCCAACAAAGATTCCAAGATCTTGAGATGGAGAAGCTCATCAACACATTGTTCTTTTTCCATCTCGAATTGTTGAGGTGGTTGTTGATAATCATTTTCACTAAGGTCATCCAAACTTGATCTTTTAACACGCTTTAAAACAGAAACTTCGTAACCAGTTTGAGCTGCTTGTTCAAGCGGTTGATACAATGGTGAGGAAGCTACTAAAACTCTACGTGCGATATTCCTTCCACGTTCTAGAATTGTGAAGAGAGCATCATACTCTAATGCGGGTTTTTGTCTTTGACCCGAAGAAGCTTTAGGATTTTGCGTCCGTTTTATATATTGTTGCTGCTTATAGTATGCCAAGAATCCAACCAAGATGTTGGAATTATCGATGAAAACGTGGATAGGGTCATCCGATATCTTGATAGGAATCGGAACCCTAAAACGGATCTTTGCATCGTATTTCTCTGAATTATTTACAACCAAAGCTGAATCTTTTTCTTTATTATACCTGGATGAAAGGTTTACTCGAGTAGATTCGTTAAAATGGACCTTTTTAACGTTATCAACATGCTATTAATGATAATCGTGAATGTTAGTATGCTCTCCTTATGGTAATATTTTAACGCCTCAGTAAACTAAACCTTACCGTTTTAACGGCCACGTCAGTTTTTGATTCATTCGCATTCGTGGTTTTTTTGCCCTTTTTCTTCTTTGACGTCCCTTTCTCTTTGCTAACTGTTACAATACCTTCAACTTTTTTCTTTGGTGGTTGTTGCACCGACTTGTGCACTTTCTGCTCCGTGACTACTATCTCTTCCTCGGAGGAATATTCAGAAGAAGAAGAATGGGGTAGCCGTGGAGGTTGCTTTACTTCACCTTCTATTGATTGACCAATATCTACAATGGGCGTGGAGGTTATGTTTGGATCACACCATTTCGCTTTTTCGCCCTGTAGAAACAGCCATAACCCTCCGAAATCTCCTAGATTTTGATCATTTTGTGTTGTTTGATTTTCCAAATATGACCATAGAGGTAAATTATTTGAGGAACTTTTGGATGTAGCAGCACGTGATGACGAGGATTGAGTTTTTGGTTTCTTCGAGTGTGTCATTATTTTATTCTACTGTACAGTTTTTCTTTTATTTTTATTTTATTTTTTTTATTTCTAAAAAAGAACTACAACAAAAAAATACCGACACCACTAACTAATAATTAGGAAATATGAAAAAAATAGAAATAATAATTTGTTAACGAAAAAATGTGGAGTTTGTTTAAATTCTTACTGGGTATTTATATACTTATCAATGTGAATTTTCCTATTGTATCTTATAGCTTGGGTATCACCGTGAACAAAGAATTTATATCTTTTAATCCCCTGAACTACTTTAAATACCACGAATTTTACCCCAGTAACTCTTTTAATTTATACAATTTTTAATTAAACGATCAGCAACAATCGATTATGATCAGGCTTAGTTTCTAATCTAACGGTGTTTTTTAACTTTTGGTTTTTTTTGTTGTAGTAATGTTAATACACGTGATGTGGATGAACTATATTTGGCATAGAGCTACCTTGAACATTTTTCTCTACATGAATCGAACATTCGTTCATTCTGTTCTGTTAAATTCTTCGATTTGGGACAAGAAAGATTCCATAAAAAAAAATTGGTAAGTTGGTCAAAAGAATTACAAACCTAAAAACGTAAGGTTAATAAAAAAAAAAAAAAAAATTTCATTTAAATTTACCATTTTCTTTCACGATAACAAGTTTAATTTATTTATCCCATTTAACATCTGTTTGTACATTTCAGCCAATTTTTCACAATACAATGTTAACGTAATTCGTTAATTGCGGTTTCACCATTTTCTCAATGAACCGAAAAAGTTGACAAAATTTGTCACCAATTAGGTAGGTTATTATTATAGGACGTGACCTTTTGTAGATTTACAATGACTCATTATAATAATATTATATCTTATTATATATTATTACATACATTTCGAACGAAAAATTTTCTAGTATGTTCTAATTATATCTTTTGATCATCTTATTAAACACAAGTCCCATCATATATTTATAAATAAATAACACTTGTTTCTTTTTTCCTTTTAATTGGGTTATTTTTCTCATCATTTGATATTTTAATTAAACTTGAAAGAGTTGAATACTCGAGATGATTTTCAAAGAAATAAATACGAGTGACAAAATTTATCAATCACAATTAGATATGCTTCGTCACATGAGTTTCACATGATTAGCTTCTGATTGGTTAAATATTTTATTCAAAAAAAAAAATTATATCGAGATTTCTTCCCTCTTTTTCTTTTTTCGAACCTGGTTTGGTCGTTAAGTGGTCATTATTACAAAATGGTTGGTTATTTATTATTTTTTTTTTATCTTTAAAAGTTGATTTGGATTGTTCTTGGATAAATGAGAGAGAGATATTTTTTTAAAGGAATATTTTTATTGGGTTAAAAGGTGGTTTGGTGACATTTTGGTTATTTGGGTTAAGTCTTGAAAATTAATATAAATGGAGATTCCATTGATTTATTTTCAATGATCAATTCGATAAAATAGTCAATTTGCAAATTCGATCAAATCGAAGAGTATTTATTTTATGATCTTGACTAAACTTCATCTTTGTTATTATTTTTTTTTTCCATTTAACTAAAATATTATTTATAAAATTTTTATTATAGGTCAACGTTCCGAAAACCAGAAATACTTATTGTAAGGGTAAAAATTGTAGAAAGCATACGTTACATAAAGTATCTCAATACAAGAAGGGTAAAGATTCTTTGTATGCTCAAGGTGATTAAAATTTTCAATTAATTGATCTTGTATGCATGTATTGTATTTATTTAATGACATTCGTTAATAATATTGAAAATAGGTAAAAGACGTTACGATCGTAAACAATCCGGTTATGGTGGTCAAACCAAACCCGTGTTTCATAAAAAGGGTAATTATAACAAGAATCATGTTTTTTCGTAAATTGTATTTTTTAATAACCGATATTATTTTTTTTTTTTTTTTCCCCCCCCCCGATTACTTATAGCTAAGACTACCAAAAAAATTGTACTTCGCTTAGAATGTCAGAGTTGTAAGGTATGATTTCAAGATAATTAATATTCCTACTAAATTAAATTACTTATTTATTTTTATTGTAATAATTAGTATAAACATCAAATCGCACTCAAACGATGCAAACATTTCGAACTCGGTGGTGACAAAAAGGTACGTAAAATTCTATTTATTAAGTAGCTAAAAAAAAATTATTAATTACTACCACGCTTAATATTCTAATTTATTACGCATCATTTCGTTCGATTATATAGACCAAGGGTGCTGCTCTTGTTTTTTAAGTTATTTGATATCTGTTTTTACCATAAAAAGAGTGAGATGTTATTGCTTGGGCTCAAGGATTTACTTTTTTTCATTATTTGAACATAAATATTAATAACAATTTTTTGAAATAATAAATTGTTTTGTAATTCACAACTAAAAATTTTTAATCATTAACTTTGAAGCAAATTACAATGAATAAAACTTAATTAATTTTGTATCTAAAATTTACTTGACCATTTATTTGAGATATAATCATCACCCCCAACCTTTATCATCTTCACCGTCTTCACAATTCCATCCATTATTAGAAATTTGCCATTCATTTGTCGCAACGGGTGTTGTAACCCAATTTGGTTGTTCTTCATGAGAGGACGAATTCTCACCGTCATCATCATCATAATTATAAAATTGCCATTCATCCGTTTCGGTAGGCGTTTTAACACACACATCCTCATCATCATTAACTTTGGTATTTAATGGATATTCCCTATGTACAATCATTTCTTCATTATTATTCATTAATGTAAAGTCTGGGCTTGATCTCAATACATCAAGTAATTTATTTTGAGTTTGGCAAAGTTGTCTCATTTCATGAATATCCCAAATCTCTTCAACTCTAATACGATTTGATTCAAATTTCTCTTGTCGTGTACGTTTATCATCAGCATCATCATTCGTATAACCATCTAACACTCTATTGCATAGAAATTGTAAATAATAATGAAGTCTTGAAAGGATTTCTTCGGTACTTTTTTCTGGCTCATTATAATAAGGAAATTCGATTGTCTTGACGAGATTATACTCTCCAAATGTCGCAAACAATGGCTTTGATGATGGATTTAAATCTCGAAAAATTGCAATTTGTGTGGCGGTTCCTATGGCTGGATCACCATCTTTTATCGTTCCAACTCCTGTAAATTCTACAGAATAATTATATTTTTCTGCTCCAGAATTTGCCCTTTGTTATATAAAGAAAAGGATATCTAAATAAATTAAACCAATTAGATAAAATTGACAAGAAAGTAATAAAACAATTTCTTACCATTCTTGAAATTCACGCCTTGTCCATTCAAAACGATGATCTTCGATTCTTAACGTAGCTTCAGGTGTTCCATATTTTAATTGTGGAAAGTAGACATTGAATTCTACGTTAGGTGTCGAAACTATTACAATCTTAGGTTTATAAGTACCTAATACTATATCAAAGAATTTATTTAACACGGGTGGATCAACATGTTCTATTCTTGTTTAAAGGAAAAAAAAAAAGAAGATTAATGAAATAAAAAAAAGTATATATTTATATATATTAAATATAAGTATAGATTAATAAAAAAAAAAATTTGTTGCAACCTACACTTCCATACAAATTAATGCATCAAAACCAAGTAATCTTTGATCTGCCACATCGATGCTTCCTGATAAATTGAGTAATAAGAAAAATTAAGTGGATTGATTCACGAGAATTAATAGAAAGTCATGTTTCAAGTTGCACCTTGATATATATCTACAGTTAATGGAGTAAGCCTCAAGAATTCGTGATCATATCTCCAAGGAGAACAATCCATCACGGTTGTTTTAAGCGTTTCATGACTTATATCAACGCCAGCAAGTTGCGTAATTGGTGCCTTTTCAGAAGGTTGGACAAGAAAAGATAAAAGTGCTCCCTCTCCACATCCAAAATCAAATACCTAATGGTAAAATTTTACATGTTTGGTAAATTCTTTTTTTTTTTTTTTTTAAAAAAAAAAAAAAAAAAGGAAATTAATTATCAATACCGAAGTAATTTCATTATTTTGTAAAGTTTCAACGACAAATCTTCGTCTTTGTCTCCATAATGGTGGGTCAAATAAAACTAAATTATTATCTTCTCCTGCTTCCATTTTTTATTTAACTAACTTTAGAAGACGAAGTATTTAATGGGAATTAAGAGAAAAAAAAGGAATTAAAAATTTTTTTTTTTTCTTTTTTTTCTTTGGTATCTATTTATATCAATGATTTCGTGTTTTGAGGCGGAGAAATATTTTGGAAATCTTTCCTAACATAGATATTAATAAAACAGATTAGGATTATAATATAAAACTATTATTTATCAAAATTAATATAAACTATAAATTATTCTTTGAATGTCTAATTTAATAATTATTATATTAATATTATTAATATCATTATTTCTTATTTTTATATTTTTATCTAAATAATAATATAGATTTTAATCATATAAAACCACTAATTTTATTAGATTATTACATAATAATTAAAGAAATAATTATTATCCCTTCAACTGTTTTACCTTCAAATTTATAGGCAATTTTATTTATTAATTACAATCATTTTTAATTATTTTTAAATATTTTAAAATATATTATTAAAAAATTAATACTTTTATAATAAATTTTATAATATTTTCTAAGTAAAAATTAAAAAAAAAAAAAATAATGTAATTAACTAGTGATTTTTTAAAGATAAATAATTAATAAATTATTATAAAAAAAATTAAAATTTTAAACTATATATCTTGCTATTATCAATCTCAGAAATATAAAAATAATATCATTTAATAGATTTTAATGTGATAAATCCAATAAATTAAATTTTATATTTTTATAATTATTTAAATAATAAATTATTTTTAAAAATTAAAAAATTAAAAATTTAATATATGCTGTATGCCTTCAAAATTAAGCACCCTTTTTTTGCTATAGAGATGCTTAATTTTAAGTACTAACAAAATTGCTAAATTTTCAATCTTAGAAGCTATGTAAAAATAATAAATGCTTTATATTTCTAACACGTTTCTTTTAGAGATCATATAAAAGAATCTGTAAAATAAGTTTTGCGAAAATGGATATAATTTAACGATAATTCTGAGTGTATTAATAGTAAATGATAATAATGATAATAGTAGTATGATGGTGATGGTGATGGCAATCATTAATAATGATGAAAGAAATATTGATGGCAAAGAATTCTTTTAAATAAAATAAATAAAAAATATTGAAATTTATAAAATATTTAATAAATCAGGTTTGTTTTAGCATTTATTTTATTTTCAAATACTAAAAAATGTGATAGTGCTTATTTTCAGATATTAAAAAAATAAGATAATACTTATTTTTGGAAAGTGCTTATTTTCGGAGAAATACGATATGATAATTATAAATTTTAAAAGTTTAAAAATACTATTATTAGATATATCATAATATAATAAATTTAAAATTTTATTTTATTTTTTTATAATCATTAAATATCAAAATATTTTAAGTTTTTTAAAATGTTTTAGAAACAATTTTATATTTATAGTTTAAGAGATAATTTTTATATAACATAATTTTTATTATATTATAAATAATCCTAATTTTTATTTATGTTAAATTGGTTATTTTATGATTACATTGTTAATTATTTTATTAATTATTAAATAATAAATAATTTAAGTATTTTTAATATATCTATTATATTTAAAATACAAAAAAAAATTTATTACATTTCTTTAAAATTAAAATATATATTTAATTCAAATAAAATTTTTAAAATAATAATATATTTCTTTATAATAATATGTTAGTTTATTATATTAAATTAGCAATATCTCTATTAATTTTCTTTTTATAAATTAATACTATTAATGTATAATCTTTTCAGGTTATAACAGTAAGACACAATGTTAGAAGGTTAATTTTATGTAGTAAAATCTATAGTCTATAAGTTAGATAAAATTTTGTTAAATATATTCAAACCTATAATAAATGTATAATCCATCTATTAAATACTATCAAATATATTTAATATACTATTAAGTATATTTTTATATATTAAATTAAAAAAATAAATGTTAATTACATTATTAATATAAGATATTATAAATAATTTCAAGTAAATCAAAAAAAAGTTTATTGATAAATAAACAAATTAAAGATAAAAATACTAAAATAAAGAAAATATAAAAAGATGAATTAATTACAAGTAGGAAAGAATAGCCTTATACTATTTTGACAAAAGTAAGTTTGCATATAATTATCACTAAATTGATTAGATTACATCTAGCAAATGATAGTTATCTTTTTCTATTAAATTTAGTCTTCTATATATACATTTAATATTAAGTCTAATAAATTAAATATATTAACTATATTAATTATATCAACTATATTAAACATATTAACTATATTAAATATTTAATATATTAGACATGTTTAATATGTTTGATATTTTTAATATTCAATACTATGTCACATTTGTAAATCATATAATTATTATCTTGTAACAATACTATTATATTGAAAAAAATTCTAAAAAAATTATAATAAGTAAATATAAAATTGAATTAAAAAAATTTTTAAATTTAATATTAATATATATAATATATTATAAATTTATTATATTTTTATTCTTTTAAAAAAAATATATTTATAATATAATAAGTAAAGAATATTTATTTATCTTAAGTATGTGATCATTTGCATTATAACTGAAAAATTTTTTTAATAAAATAAACTTTTAAATATTAAAAATATTTTTTATATATACTTACAAAATATTAATAAATTAATATTAATAATTTAATTACCTTTGTAATAAACAGATATGAATCAATTTTGGTAAAAAATGAGAATAAAATTTATATTAAAATTTAATAAAGTAATTGATAAAATCATTAAATTCAAATCAATAGTTCTTGAGATATACAGTATTTTATCGATTGCTATTTTTTTTTAATATATTATAAACTAGTATCTCAGTATCAAAATTAAAAAAAAAAGAAAAGTTGATTATATGTAAAGTTTTTATATAAGTGTTATATTATAAAGAACAAAATAAATAGATAATCAGAAACCTTTAGATTAAAAAGTTCCTAAAGTTTTTTGATATTTTACTTAAAGTAATATTACATTTGTTTTGAATATTAATTTTAATTTAAGTGAATAAAGATTTGTAAGTTTTTTTAAATAGATTATGATATTGCAAATGTTTAAATTATAAATTATTATGAAAAAATTAATTAAGAAAATTATAATGATATTTTTAAAATAAATACATATATCTTAGTAATTAGTAATAGATAATATAAATTTATTATATATATTATTGATAATTTTAGTTTAAAATTTGTATAAATTTATAGTAAAATAATTAAAATAATTAAATATAATTATTAAATATTAATATTCTAAATAAAAAATAAATTCAATTAACTAATTTTACTTTAACAATAGTAATACTGTTTAAAATTCTAAAAATTGATTAAAAAAAAAAAAATATTATTAAATCTATAATAGAAATTATTAAAACTTAATTAAATTCAATTTGCTTACTTATTTACTATAAATTCCCTTCTGATTATTTTTATGAAAAATTAAACAAAGAACGAAATTAAAAATTGAAAAAATATTTTTTATTTTATAATAAAAACTATAAATAAAATGTGAATTATATATAAATAAAATAAAACATTTTTAATTATTCTTGGCTAAAGATATATTTATCAATTGTTGTTCTTTTAATTAGAAACCATGATGGTTATCTCGGTTTAAAAAATTACAAATTGAAATTATTGAAATGGTTTACCATTTTACCATTGGAGAACTGATAATCGGATTATAAAATTGCTTGCTTTCCACGTGATTCAGGCTTAGATGTACGTCTTTTTTTTCGATTACTTATGATACACAAAGCCCATAAAAATTAAAGATTTAATTAAATAACGTGATTTTTTTTTTTTATGCGCACAGATCAAAATATTTTAACTTCTTTCCACAATTTCTTTTCGTCTAAGCCTGAATTTAAAAGTTATACACAGCCACTTGGCAAAAAAAAAGAACCATCATTTTCTAAGCCAGTGGCTTTAATGATATACATAATAAAAAAATTTATCCTTTTATATAATGTTATGAAATTCAATTTAATCAACCATAATTATTTTCTTTCTGTAAAAAAAATAAAAAAAAAAAAATAATAAATTGAGACAAATAAAGATGGATAGATGTCGCTCATCCATGACATTGGTCAAGCATACGGTGGGAGGAATGATATGTACAGCTGTAGTTATTTTGATTTTCGCGTGTCCAGCCTTAGGTGAGACAGTAATCTGTTATTTTCGTGATGAATGTTATACAAGATGATAGACATCGTGATAATATATTTTCTTTAGAAACAACAAAAATAATATTGTTCAAACAAGCAAGTGGTGAAATAAAGTTAAAGGATCCCATCATCGAGTGCCTGTAAGCAGACATTTAAGTACTTTGTCTGTTATTATATTTTGAAACAGATTTATTTATGTATTTTTTTTTATTTAGTTATTTATTTTTGGTGCTTACATTTCCTAGTAAGTTTTAATAAAGGTGTGTTTGAATGTTGGGTATGAGAAACGATTAATTCTGATTCTAAATGGTTGATGATGACGATATCTTTAGTTGGATTAATGTTCACGGCGATTAAAGGTCGATGTTGTGATATGAAAGGATTAATGAATCATATAAGGGACGAAAAATGGTATATCTCCTGAAATTGATTTTTTTTTTTTCGCGTCGATTTCAAATGTTTCCTTAAAAAATTTTCTTCCTTTCCTTTTTCCTTTTCCTTTTTCTTTCTTTTTTAGTTGCTTTTCGCTATTAATCCTCATAATAGCAAGTGAGTTCTTCATCCATTTAAATTCTCTTTCTTTTTTATGTTACTCCTTCGTAAGAATTCAAATTCATCCTCCTTATGTTAAAAGGCATATATACGCATATGACATCACAAGAATGTCCATCAAATCATACACATGAATCATCGATAGCACGTTCAGCATGCCTGATAGGATTAATAAATTTTATAGCGATGTGGACATTTACTATATTGTTATTATTGTTAAGTATAGCTGATTGTCTCGATTGTTTTCCAAGCAAGAAACAAGATAAAAGCATCGAATCAAAGTTAATTGGATTTTTCCCCCCGGATCGGGATGATGAAATTATATACAAATAAAGCGAAGAGGGGTCATCAGCATACATATTAATATAAACATTGTAAATATAAAAGCACGTATATTATTTGATTTATAATATATTTAGCGTAGTTATTTAACTCTATCGAGTTGTTTTTTTTTTTTTATAAGAAAAAAATTTTGTATGTCGATAGAAACTCCATTTATGGTCATTAAATATTTTTTTATTTTAAATTCCTTTCATTCTTCATTACTTCATTTTTAAAAAAAAGGGGGAAAAAAAAATTTTTTTACAATTTACAATCTAATCTACAAGAGGAATGCCCCATTTAACCCGTGTAAAAAAAAAAAAAAAAAAAAAAATTTCAAAAAAAAAATTTCACAAAAAATTCTACATTATTCTACAAAAAAGTAATACGCGTAGTATTTATCGTACCAACCTACGCCTAATCACCCAATTATTATACATTCATTCTTTATTCAAACCAAGAAATGTTCGGTAGATTGTCGTATTCTAGTAGGCGAGAAGTGTAAACGGCTTCGGGATGTACTTTATAACCATTAAGATTCCACGAGTTCATGGTTGACATCGATGTGGGAGAATTAAAATTGTCCGAATATGAACTTGAAATGCTCGTGTTGATAAGTGGGGTTGTGAACGGAGTTTGTGGGTAACAGCAGGATGATATCGGAGATCCTGGAGTTGGAGGAGTTGAATATCCACCATCCTTGACGCTAACTGGTGTCGAACTACGTGTTCCTCTAAATGCTTCGTCATCGGCTATCATTAAGGATTTCATTTCGGGATCCAACCTCCAATACCATCCCCTTATCATGTTATGTAATTCTTGAGCAGATGGTCGATTTTCTGGTTTAGAATCCCAACAACTCGTTATTAATTTCTTCACTCTTTGAGGCATGTCTGAAGATGATATTTCTGGTCTATGCCCTTGACATATCTTTTGCGCTAATTTAAAATCGTGGGGGACGTCAAAATACGGGGGATGTCCCATGAACACTTCATATATGATGAACCCGAATGCGTAAACGTCGGCCGACTGTGTAAACTTCTGTCCTCGTAAAACTTCCGGAGCTATATAAGGTAAAACCCCATATACTTTAGGTTTTTCATAAGTTGAATTCCTTCTTGAAGGTGTTGAGGTGAACGATGAAAAGAAATCTTTTTTTTGTTTTTCGGGAATCAGGTTATCCTCATCGGTGTAATCATCAAGAGGTTCTTCAACGAATTCAGTCTTTTCGGTAAGGATCTTCCTCGGTACATTCGAAGCGGGCCCATGTAAACCCAAATCACTTATACAACTCCAAGATTTCGGGGTGTAATTTTTCTCCATTGGAATGATCGTTTGTAAGATATTTCCCGGATGAAAATTTCCGTGAATTAATTTTGCTTGATGAATCTTTCGAAGTCCATCCGAAATTGGAACCAATAACTCAATTTTATTTGAGAGTGAAAAGGTAGTAAAATATTTGTTCACATATTGACGAAGGTTACATTTGGCATATTTCATGACCAGCATGTAATTATTCGTTACGGGATCTTTGGTTATTCCGTATATCCGTATAAGACCACCGGAATGTTCAAACTTTATTTGCGTTCGTAGCTATCAATTTCAAAAGAGAGAGAGAGAGAAAGAGAGAGGAGAAAGTGTGGTAAGTATTTTAATTTTTTATTAAAAAAAAAAAAAAAAGAAAGAAAGAAAGAAAGAGAAAGAAGAAAATGACGAAAAAATTGTTCTCGAAAAAATAAAATAAAATAAAATAAAAAATAAAAACAAAGTTGAAGTACCTTTTGAAGGTATTCGCTGGATATATTTTCAGAAAAGTCGAGGCTTTTTAGAGCTACTCGACCGTATACTTCTTTTTCGGTACACATGGCGGAATATACATGACCGTAACCACCTTTTGCCAACAGTTTAACATCCTCAAATCTTTCATAAGGGATCCATTTCCATGGTTTACGACGTTTTGAGGCTAAACGTTGAGTTTCTTTTATAATCTCATCAATTTCTTTATTTCCCGTCGTCCAAATTCCTAATATCGACTTAATTGCTTTCCAAACAGCGCAACAATCCTTTGGATTGTAATGACGGGAATTCGAGGAGTGGTGAAAGGCTGAATTTAACGATGATGTACTGCCCGTCGACCGATGTGTTCTACGATGGTTATGACCACATTCATTTCCATGAATTAAAGTATCAAAGTATGATTGCTGGTTTCCCATTTTTTTCAAACGTTTAATGAAACCAGCTAAAATTTTGAAAGAATTCCCCCCTTTTAAGAATTATTTAGAATCACGTGGATTTGTTATGTTATGATGTGCAACATCAAATCGGGTTCTTTGTTCTTTAAAAAAAAAAAACGCCTTTTATTTATTTATTTAATCGAAATTTTTCAGTGAACAGATTGATATTTTGTCGAAAGGATGAAAAAAAAAAATTTTTTCTTTTTCGCTATATTTTTTTCTTTTTTTTACAAGGAAGAAAAAGGAGGAGAAGGCTAAACAAGGTTTAAGAAATAAGAGATTATCCCATTAAAATATATGCGGAGGAAAAATGTTCCCATAAATTTTAATTCAAAGGTAATTTGATATCATTTAACTATTTAAGGGATTTAGTAAATAAAAATAATATAAAAAAAAAAAAAAAGAAAGATAAAACAGGTTAAATTGTTGTGCCATTTTTGACAAATGTCGCCCTTAATTAAAGTTAAATCGATAACAAAGTTGATCTTTGATATGACAAAAGGGTTTGACCAATTTCAGTATTTCTTGAATGCGCAAGCCACAATTCCATGCGCGATGCCGCCTTAGCTGCATTTTATTACCTTATTTACCATTAGTTAACAATGATTGTCATTGTGTTAGAAACTGCTATCAGAAAATACTGTACTTTAGAAAAAAATTGTCTCTCAATGAAACTTTTTTTTATGTTTTGTGTTGGAAATTCAAGAAGATTGTTACCTAAACAGCTCTTCAAAATGGGTTAACAATACGGTCACATGCACGCGATAATCAGTGACCGCATTACCGCCACGTGAGCACGGATGGCATGTTATCGTCATAACTCGATTCAAACAATCTGTCCCCAGTCATGAGGTATGAATTATTTCATTCCCCATTGTTATTCTCATTCTACGAACAAAAATGCTTAAACCTCTTAATTTTTTTTTTTTTTAGCGTCGAATTAAAAATGTATTATATAATGCATATTTTTTGATCGAAATGTAAAAATTATATACTACTTTGGGCGTCATGAGGGGGTTTAAAACAATGTTCGAATTCATTCGTATTCTTTATGAGACCTTTTCTTTCTCCTGAGAACAATCGATCCAAAGTAATTATCTCGTAAGGTTCATTTTTCCTCAATTCCGACAACTCCTTTTTTTTTTTTTTTCTTCCAACAAGTTGAGAGGAATAAAAATTAAAGTTTAGATTGATTGTCGATTTTTGGGATGCCTGCGCCGATCCTTGCTCGTTTATATCATTGATTTGATCTTTATCTATGCTCATTAAAATGAGCTCATTATACCTTTTTTTTTTTCTTTTTCTTCGGACATCATGCGATCAATCGAATTAATGGTGGCTTAGTTACCATAATTGAAAGTTAATCACGTGCGTAGATTTAATTAAACTTTAATCACCATAGGAATCGAGTTACGTGCGCAAGACTATACCCATTTACACAATAAATGTAAAATCTCTATTCGCCAACTGCAACTTTTTTTGGAAGGTTTTAGATGGTTCACACGCATGGTGCCTCTCACTGATAAAGAAGGTACGTTTCTATCAATCTCTGCTTCTAAATTCCAAATTAATCATGATTCTATTTCGATAAAAATCCTAGTTTAAATGCACGCAATACACTTTAGTTTGAACTATCATTTTTTTTCTGCTTTCAATCAGATTTTATTTAAATGATCGATGCATGAAGAAAAAAAAAATTTTAAGAATGAATCTCCCTTTGGTAACAAAAGAATACAAAAAAGGGCGAGATAAATCCTAAACGTGTTATATGCGTTATCAATTTAACTTCTTAAGGCAACGTTCCAACTCATCACGTCCATTAGCTCCTTCATGTGAATTATTTCCGCGTGGAGTTTGACCATAAAATTTCTCGTTTTCTCTCTCGATTTATTATTGTTTGCTGGTGCGATTTTCAACTTTATCGAGCCAATGAATTTTACGCGTCGAAAAAAAAAAAAAAGTTACCTCGTCGATTAAAACCCTCCCGTGTCGTACAACGTAAAGTCGTGTATCAAAACTAAAAAAAAAAAAATTTTTAATACATGAATTTTTTTTTAAAAATAAAAAGATAAAAAGAAAATAATCATAATAATAATTACTGCTTGAAACGAGGGGACGCATAACCTTAATTAGTCAATATTAAGAAGGGGTAAAGTGCCGTATCCATGTCCCTTCGGCACAATTATTTATTATAAATATTATTATCCTTACGGTTTGCTGCGCCACATTAGAAGTATTAGCTCGGAATCGTTTATTAATCATTCTATTCTGATCAAGTGCGCATGAATAGTCTACGTTTTTTTTTTCTTATGGGGGTTCGTTTTTGATAAATTTATTGGCTTGCACAACATTTTTGTTATGCCAAAAATATTTTTCGAGTGAAACTCGAGATGTAGGTATAAATAAATAGTTTGGACGACTAGAATTCATGCATGATGTTTTATCCCGATATTAACTAACTATACACGAATCGATAAGTATTAAAGGCAAGTCATAAATGCACCCCTTGGGAGACGTGCATTTACAGAAATGTAGGTTGCATGTGACACAGCTCAAACAACACGAGCAAGCCAATGTAATCGACATGGGCTTACGAACGATTTTATTGGCTGAGGATTTGACGACTACCGTTAAATGTACTGATTTATAGCAGGAGTGCACGCATTGAATGAGAATACCTTTGCGCGTTCGTAATGGATCCAGCATTGTACGTCGGGAAGGGTTGACCGGTAATTAAAGTGAAGTCAGAAAAGTTCCTCTCGAAAAAACGAGCTGATAGAATTCACACAAGGTTTCGACACTTCACGGTAGGGTTGAAACTTAATCAAATATGAACCTTTATCGAATTTCAATTCTTTATTGTTGATGAGATTGAAAATTTTATTTTATTTTTTTTTTTTGACCTCTGCTAATTCCGTCTTGGTTCTCTTAACCATCTGCGGGCACCGTCGCATGCAATTTCATAATTACAATACGAGAGCTCATGATTCTGGAAATGGGCAATCTCGCGGCTTATTCATACCACCATTCCTTTGTTATCGAACATCATATTCAACAAAGAATTGTTTCTAGATATCATATAATTTATTTATTACAGGATTAAATCGCTTTGCATGATAAAAAATTTACCTATATAACTGAAAAAAGTACCGCAAGTTTTTTTAATACTCACTTTCATTATTGAAGTTGATGTGCATAAAAAATAAAGGCTAAAAATGAAACGGATGATAATACGTGAAGAAATGATATCTTTGTAAATCACGGATTATTGGTATCGAAGCAGATTCGAATGGGAGTAACGCACGGTTCTTATCATGATTGGGAACGTATTTCGAACGACTGTACAAGTTTCAAGGAGGCGTAGAAACGTTTTCTTCTTTGAGTCGTAAAGTGTCTTTTCTCTGCCTCCGACATTTGAGAATGCCTTCTGATCAATTTTCGTGCGTTAAATTTGAACGCGCGTGAGCTCCGTTTTATTTTGTCACGATTTACCTACCGTATATTAGGTGTGAGACATATTCATCTTGATCCAAGCAAATTTTTTTTTGATTTGAATCATAGAAATAACTTTTCTGTTTTTTTAAAAAAAAAAGATAAAAAGATTATTATAGCCTTTTGTTCATTTAATAATGATTTTCAGAATTGATAGGCAAACTTAATTACCCAATAAAGACTTGAACCATTTTTTGAACCTTATAAATGGGGTTTTAAGGGTTTCAATTAATTCCCAAATCGGTTGAGAAATGATGGAATCTGAGAATTATTCATATTATACGACAGATAATGAACTGGATAATTTAGAGAGTACCTTCAATTGGTATCAAAAAACGGCGGAAAATGAAAATAAATTCGCACAATATAATCTCGCCCTCTCATATGAGAATGGGGAAGGAACGGAAAAGAATTTGGAGAAAGCCTTTTATTGGTATCAAAAAGCAGAGGAAAATGGTTATGATTTCGCACAAAATAATCTAGCATTCTCATATGAAAATGGGGAAGGAACTGTAAAAGATTTAGAAAAGGCCTTATATTGGTATCAAAAAGCGGCGGAGAATGGTTATGAATTCGCACAGAATAACCTTGGTTGTTTATACAAGAATGGGGAAGGTATGGAGAAGAATCTAGAAATGGCATTTTATTGGTATAAAAAGGCAGCCGAGAATGGTTATGAATTCGCACAAAATAATCTTGGTTGCTTATATGAAAAAGGGGAAGGAACGGAAAAGAATTTGGAGATGGCATTTTATTGGTATAACAAGGCAGCGGAAAATTGTCATGACATTGCACAAAATAATCTTGGTTGTTTATATGAAAGGGGGGAGGGAACGGAAAGGAATTTAGAGAAAGCTTTTTACTGGTATCAAAAAGCCGCGGAGAATGGTTATGAATTTGCACAATTTAATCTTGGTTATTTATATAAAAGAGGTGAAGGGGTGGAAAAGAATTTAAAAATGGCTTTTTATTGGTATCAAAAAGCGGCAGAGAAAGGATATGAAGTCGCACAAAATAGTCTTGCACTTTTATATGAGAGAGGTGAAGGAACGGAAAAGAATATGGAAAAGGCTTTTTATTGGTATCAAAAAGCCGCAGAGAAAGGATATGAGATTGCACTATATAATTTGGGGGAATGTTATGAGTTAGGAAATGGCATTGAAAAGGATGAATTTAAAGCATTTGAATGTTATCAAGAATCTGCCAAACAAGGATGTTTAACCGCAATATTTCAACTTGGGTATTGTTATGTGAATGGAATTGGAACGGAGGTTGATAAAGTTAAAGGATTTGAAACTTATAATAAGGCAGTTGGAATCAAAGATATTGATGCGTCATTATATGAAGATTATGAGAAAATTATCAATGATTTAGATGTAGTTAATTATTGGTACCATAAAGCGGCGGAACATGATAATAAAGTGGCATTATATAAATTAGGGGAATTGTATGAAATAGGAAAAGGTGTATGTGCAAATCTAGTTCGAGCATTCGAATTCTATAAGTCATCGGCCAATCAAGGGTATTTAAAGGCTCAATATAAGGTTAGGTATTATTATGATCATGGAATTATAGTTGATGTCAATAATGAAAATACTCGAAACGGTCTTACACATTTATATGTACAAGATGATATTGAGGGATACCGAAAGGAAGTGGATAATCTGTTAAGAATAAAATAAGTTAAGTTTGCTTGAACTATTTCTACTCGGTTTCAACTAATTGACTTATTTTTTTAAATTAGTCTAAATCGGAAAATCCAAGGCAGTTGTATTTAATTTCTTTGTATATAACACTTTTTTTTTTATGTTTTATAATATACGATTATAATATAATTTTTTTTTTTTTTTCAAATTTATAAGCAAATCAATTTATTTCATTTCATGTTGTTCCGTGGTTGGACGTGAAAAGGTGTCTTACATGATTCAACGGTTGGCTATTAAAATTTGAATAGCAAGCACATATTTATCAATGTTGAAATTTCGTTTGCCGAAAGTAATTGCATCCATCAAGTTTGATCTACTAACGGATTGATTGCTCCAAGGAAAATACGTTTAGCGAGACATTAATCGAAAAATTACAGGGTATTAATTTTTTCGCAATTCACGTGTTTTTATAAAGTGAATCTGTGTTGATACTAGATCCGTTGCTAAATTATAAAAATTCAAAATCTCGGATTCATTGTTTGGCAAAACCTATTTATTATGATAATAACTTCTATTTGAATATATTAAAATAAATGTAACCAACTTCGTTAATTTGCGAAAAAAAAACGAAATTATTGTAATTTACAACGTGACATGCAATTATAAATATAAAAAATAAATAAATAAATACCAGTATATTGAAAACAAATAATCTATTAAACAGGATGTAATGTAAAGAACATAAACATGGAAAAGTATAGTCTAGTTAAAATTACCTTTAAAATTATTTTAAGACGATAATAAGTAAATAAAGATTTGAAATCGGAAAGTCAAAAATAAATATAAAATCTGTTGAATGCATATAATAATACTATAATATTATTTATTAGGTGAGGAGAGCGAACCTACCTTAATAATCGTGTTATTATGTAGCTAGTTTCGGATTCGCTTAAACCTAACAGCATATAGTGAATTTATGATAACTCTACTTGTAATCTGCTTGCCTTGATTCATTTCATTAAAATCTATTCAAAGATGACTAAATTAGATTATATCGATATCGATATCATTCTTACCAACCCGTTATTTACAAATAAGATTTTTCCTAGGTTTACGTATCTAACTGTTAGTATATCTCTTAATTTGATTCAAAATTATCGTGTAAAATTATCATTATTTAGATCTTGATATCGTGAACATACAGTACATCTATTTTTTTTTTTTTTAATTAAAGAATCAAAGTTAACAATTAAATTAATGATAATTAATCACCTCACAAAGATTCTTCCATTTATCAGTAGAATTATTTAATCAACCATTGTCTACACTAATTCGGCCTCGTTGGTGAAAAAATTATTAAGTAACCTTCTGAAATCTTTTAAAAGGTATTCATTCAAGTCATTTTGAACAACATTAATTTTAGAATCTTTTAGCATTACAGTGATCCTTTTCAAATCAACGATATAAAGATTAATTGCCCTCTACCATAATATTTTATAATGCCATACACATACTCACCACCAAAGGAAACTTCGAAGCACATTCAAAATGTAAATTTTAAATTTAAACTCTCGTTCTGAGCAAACTTTTAGAAATTCCGTTAAAGGATTGAGAGTTATATGATGGCCACTTGTTAATCAAATCTAAGCGCATATAGACTCTTGGGTAAATCGCACCCAATTAAATAAAAGACATTTTGGAACATATGTCCCTTTGATATCTTTAAGGTACTTTGAATCCTTAAGGATTATATTGAAGTTGAATAAATTCACTGAAAATTTGAATTCAACAAACAATGTAAAGTGCTTTAAACATACTCTAAAATCATCAAAAAATTTTATTTCTTTCATATTTTCGTTTGAATGTCGTAACAAAGTATTGATAAATTTTTCAAATCCTTCCTCAAACAAGAAAATGTGTTCAACCTTTTGAACAAGGTTGATACATCCACTTTATTTTGTTCAAAATAAAATTCGTACAAACCCTAATTTCCAATTGTTGTTAATTTACCAATCTCCAAAATTCATTAATGGAAAGGATACTAAAATGCGTTGTAAAGTAATTCTTGTTAGGTTGTTATGTTGATACAAAATGCTTTCCCACTTCTTGAGAGAATTTCCACATATGATGATATCTTTAAAATCCCTTTGATTCTTTATCAATTTAGCAATATCATCCCCAAGATGTGATGAAGTGCACGATCTGATATATGACAAATTAGAGATTACGCTATAACTTGCGTTACATCTAAAATATCTTAAAGCCGATAATTTTTGTTCGCCATAAGGTAATTCATAAATATCAAAATCTTGCTTCCCTTTTAATTCAAGCCCTTTAAAGTATTTGAATTAATCAAGTATTTAAAAAATGAATCCCTGCTAATTTTATGCAAGTACTTATATAATCAAAAAGATACATACGTAATGATTTTAACCAATCAGATTCTTGGACATTTTGAGGTAGTAGACTTGTTAAGTAAACACTTCGATAAAATTGAATACCTAATCCATATTTATATGTGTTCGCAAATGTCGACTGAATGCTATATAAGGTAATGATCGGTGATGATTCAATGATGATCGTACACGAGTTAAATTTCTTTAGATGTATATAAGTAATTAATTTTTACCTCATATAAAGTAACAAAAAATGCATAATGATTAATATTGTCTATCAAACACGAGATAGAAATATTTATTTATTCAGATAATACCGCAATATCTCATAATCACGTTTCGCATTTAAATCTCATTAACTAAACCTACTTAATTACTATATTAATAAGGGAAATGACATTTCACAATAATGATATTTGAACGAATATCATTATGTAACAAAATAAATGTCCAGCAATCATTTTTCATCCCTAGATGATCCAGTAATGAAGCGACTTTTAGCTATCGCGTTTTTTTTCAATTTATAAAAAGGGCCTCCTTAGACCATTATCTGCATATTGAACTACTTAGATGCTTTAACTAGAAGAATTACTGGGTTTGTTATTGTTGATAAAGAATTATTTGTTTTTGAAACTTTCATTTATCACTAAATGAAAAAGTCAGTGTAAATAGGTGAAATTAGAATGCTCTACCTTCCCTTTGCAAAATAAAAAAAATACATCTTTCTAACTTAACTTTCTTGCTTTTTATAAAAACAACAGGCTCAAGTCTACCTAATGATTATGTTTTGATTTTGAATTAGTAAGAATATATGTTTCATAAATTAGCGTCTTTGAAAGTAGAAGCAGTGATCATAATGAAATATATTAGAAATTTTATGGTGATGCAATTTAGTAAGTAAATTAATTGTAATGCAATTCTATCCATATAATTTTACGTTTCATTACTAAATTAACAACATATGTTATTTCAAAGTCGAAATATTAGGTTGAAAGAAGCTAAATCTTCAGATAATTTCTGGACTTGATGAAAAATGCAGATAAAAAGCGCTAATTTTTGAATTTAGCAAGGCATTGTGAAAATAATCTGTAAATAATTTATCTAATATTTGCGCACAATATAAGCATTGATCATAGAATTATATTTATAAGTATTGCAACCAACGTTCATTACCTCCTTCACAATCACCATCAACATCACCATACCTTTTACCACTGCCTTCCCTGTACTGATACCTGATTCTTTGTCATCCATCACTATCTCCTTCGTCTATAAGAAGAATATGCTTAGAATATTCACTCTATTATAAATGAAAGCGCTCACTTATATAGTTCGTAAATAAATATTTATCTCTTTTATGTTTTTAATTTCCTTATCAGTTTGAGAAGTAAGTTAATCAGTTGATTCTTTTGAACAGGTTACAATACATTATACAAGAATTTCTATAAAATGATGAATTTTTTAAAATTTATTATACTACAGAGTGATGAATTTTTTAAAATTTATTATACTACAGAGTGATGAATTTTTAAAAAATTTATTTTTTAAATTTACTTTGCTTACAGAAGTAACAATTTTTTTAAAAAGAATTTTTAAAAATAATTGTCACTTTCATAGTATTATAAGTAAAAAATTTTTTTAAAATTCATCACTTCTATAATAAAATTTTTAAAATAAATTATTAAATTATTATTTAATAATTAAAAATATTAATTATCTTGAATTTTAATAATTCAAAAGAAGAAATTAAAAATTCACAAGTTGATAAATATAGTTAGCAAAAAAATATGTAAAAAAAAATACCTGCAATATAAATGTAATTATAACATTTGCAAAGATAAACAACTTCAAAAAATCAAAAAAGAAAAGAAAATTTTACTATCAAAGCTATTACTAATATTATAACTACTTCTATTAGCACTAACAATACTATTTAATATCATTACTAATCAGTAATACTAATACAATACTAATATTAATACCAATGCTAATACTAATATCATAGCAATAAATTTAAATAACTTTTCTAATAAGAAAGCAAAAATTTTTTTGATTTAGGTAATTTTAAATTTTTATTTATCTCTTAAACTGTAAGTATAAAATTTTTTTAAAATACTTTAGAAAATTTAAAATATTTTAATATCTAATGATTATAAAAAAAATAAAATAAATTTTATTTAATAGTAATATTTTTAAACTTTTAAAATTAATAATTAGAGTTCCGGACGAGTCGAGTTAACTCACGAGTCAGATAAGCCGAGTCGAGTTTAAATCGAGTCGAGTTTATGTTT